ATGCTCCTCTTGTACTAGCCCTTTTTGTCCTCTCCGATGCACCAGGACGACCTGGACGCTGCTCAGTTGTTTCCTTGCTGTATTTCCTGAACTGCATTATGATTCTGTTGACTGTCAAAAGCGAGATTCCCAAATTCTGTGAAATTTGCCGCTGACTTATTCCACCATCTGCTTGACCAACTATCCTTCCTCTAACAAAATCTGACAATTCGAGAGAATCTTGAGTTCTAGGATGTTGTAGCACAAGATAATTAGTGTGCGGACCATTTTCATTTATATAGTGCACTGTGGACACAAAGTAGTTAGCATAAATCAGTTAAATGATGAACAATTAGATGTCTATTTACTTGTGACCACTTAGTGTATAGGTATGGAAACATTAAAACCAAGGGATTACCTAAAACACACACACACCACTTTTACAACACTAATGCTTACAATGGATCAAATAACTAGAACTATTCCATACAGTTCTGAAACTTACAATTGATGAAACAGTTAAAATTATTGTTCATGACACTAAAGCTTAAAATTTATCAAATAGAGTTATTCCACAAAATACTGAATTTTACAATAGATCAAATAGCTATAGCTATTGTATACAATACTAAAGTTTACAACTGATCAAATAGCTAGAGCTATTCTATTATTTGGTCCACTATAGAATTTATTGTAGTATGGAACAGTTTTAGCTATTTGATCCACTATAGACTTTATTGTAGTATAGAACAGTTTTAGCTATTTGATTTACTGTAGACTTTATTGTAGTATAAAACAGTTTTAGCTATTTGATCCACTGTAGACTTCAGTGTTCTATAGAGCAGTTTTAGCTATTTGATCCATTGTAAGCTTTAATATTGTATGGAATAATTCTAGCAATTCGATCCATTATAAGCTTTAGTATTGTATGGAATAATTTCAAGTATTGGATCCATTGTATGCTTTAATATTGTATGGAATAGCTAGCTAGTTGATCCATTTTAAGCTATCCATTGTACTTTTCAGTATTGTATAGAATATGTCTGGCTACTTAGTATTGTTGTGGAATAATTCTAGCTATTTGATTCATTGTAAGGTTTAGTATACTAGCTAGAACTGTTCTATACGACACAAGTCTACAGTGGATCAAGTAGCTAAAACTGTTCTACATGATACTAAAGTCTACATTGGATCAAATAGCTAGAACTGTTCTATAAGACACTAAAGTCTACAGTGGATAAATACAGCTAGAACTGTTCTATAAGACACAAGTCTACAGTGGATCAAATAGCAAGAACTGTTCTATATGACAAAAGTCTACAGTGGATCAAATAGCAAGAACTGTTCTATAAGACACTAAAGTCTACAGTGGATAAAATACAGCTAGAACTGTTCTATATGATACTAAAGTCTACAGTGGATCGAATACAGCTAGAACTGTTCTATACAATACTAAAGTCTACAGTGGATCAACTACAGCTAGAACTGTTCCATACAACACTAAAGTCTACAGTGGATCACATAGCTAGAACTATTCTATACAACACTAAAGTCTACAGTGGATCAAATAGGTAGAACTGTTCTATACAACACTAAAGTCTACAGTGGATCAAATACAGCTAGAACTGTTCTATATGATACTAAAGTCTACAGTGGATCAAATACAGCTAAAACTGTTCTATACAATACTAAAGTCTACAGTGGATCAAATAGCTAGAACTGTTCTATACAATATTAAAGTCTACAGTGGATCAAATAGCTAGAACTGTTCTATATGATACTAAAGTCTACAGTGGATCAAATAGCTAGAAATGTTTTATACAACACTAAACTCTATAGTGAATCAAATATAGCTAAAACTGTTCTATAAGACACTAAAGTCTACAGTGAATCAAACAGCTATAACTGTTCTATACAACACTAAAGTCTACAGTGGATCACATAGCTAGAACTATTCTATACAATGAAAAAGTAATTTTAGTATTTTGACTAACAATTCTCAAACATTTTCTTAACTGGCCTTCAAGTGGTTACACTCTGTTATACCCTCAAATCCTTGTCAAAATGTATATTTTGTTACTTGTCACATACTATATCACTTGTAGAGAAAAATTCATCATGTTGTAATCACATAATGCTTGTTTTTGTGTTATCTAGAAACTCCAAATTCTTAAGAGTCTATGAACTATCACAATTGAATTACTTTTCCAATCTCCTGTCCTTCTGATTGTTATATTCAGACTTGTGACATAATATATAATGTCACCTTAAAACTATGGTAAGTTATAGCTGACACACACACACACCCAACTTATTGTCTAACTTGGCATTTCTCAACCTTTCATTACCAGGGACCAGATACCTAAATTGTCAGGGGACAATGAAAAATTATTATGATTTACATGTGAATATTTTGTCAGTATTTTTAACTTTCGTGAAATCCCATAGACCAAGGTGGTTTTCACAGCCCAACACTAGTCCATGTATAGGATATTGAAACACTGATTTAAATTATTACATTGTAAATACATGGAAATCTTTGTCTTATTCACAATTCACTATTGTTCTTTCCTGAAATGAAAAATAGGTCTTACCTTGTTGTCATCTGAAATAGTTCGTTTTGACCAATGCTGTGTTGGAGTGAAGACAAAGGAAACATGACTGAAGTCAGGAAGACAATTTTCTTCCCACCAATCTAACTCCACCACATTGTCACAACCCACCTGATTCATCCAAGGAAGTAACCCCATTGGTACAAACCATCGTAGCTCAGACCCAAACCTATTAAAAAGGACAAGTACTAAATATTTCATAGTTTCAAACTGGTATCATTCAAAAACTTTACATTCTTCTATTACAATAGTTTAGATACAGTACAACACTAAAGACTGTAAAAGGGTTGATGATGTTTAGGAATATACATCATATTCTTCTATAACAATAGTTCAGATATAGTAAAACATTAAATATTGTAAAAGGGTTGATAATGTTTAAGATGGTACATTATATGCTTCTATTACAATAGTTTAGATACAGTAAAGCATCAAAGACTGTACAAAGATTGATGTTTAAGAATGTACATTATATTATTCTATAACAATAGTTCAGATACATTAAAGACTGTTAAAGAGTTGATGATGTTTAAGAATGTAAATTACTTTCCTCTATAATAACAGTTCAGATACAGTAGAGCATTAAAGACTGAAAAAGGGTTGATGTTTAAGAATGTTCAAAACTTTTTAAACACAGGCTACTCTATTTAAACAGAAGTTCCTGTTTTTTAAGTGTAAGTATTTTGTTCTCTCTTACATTTAAATAAATAACTTGTGTTATGAATATTTCGTGACACAAAACACTAAAGTTAAACTGAATATTATATTAAGCAAGATAATGTTAACTTGGTAAAGCACAATGAGCCCAATAAACAAAAAATTTACCACCTGAACTGACTACCTACATGTTACTACAGTAAACATTCTAGTTCCAAATAGATGGTACTTAGTTTTATATATTTAATTTCCTTTTTGTTTCAAACTATTGAGGTATACGGCAAAAATTGACATACAGTCAATAATAGGCACTATACAGTAGCTATAAGCTACAAAGAGTCTTTAATTTCTCTTACTGAATGTTACTGGTAGATAATGAGCACTACACAGTACCTATAAGCTACACAAAGTCTTTAATTTCTCTTACTGAATGTTACTGGTAAATAATGAGCACTAAACAGTACCTATAAACTACAAAGAGTCTTTAATTTCTCTTACTGAATGTTACTGGTAAATAATGAGCACTACAAAGTAGCTATAAGTCACAAAGAGTCTTTAATTTCTCTTATTGAATGTTACTGGTAAATAATGAGCACTAAACAGTACCTACAAACTACAAATAGTTTAATTTCTCTTACTGAATGTTACTGGTAAATAATGAACACTACAAAGTAGCTATAAGTCACAAAGAGTCTTTAATTTCTCTTATTGAATGTTACTGGTAAATAATGAGCACTAAACAGTACCTATAAACTACAAAGAGTCTAATTTCTCTTACTGAATGTTACTGATAGATAATGAGCACTACACAGTACCTATAAGCTACAAATAGTTTAATTTCTCTTACTGAATGTTACAGGTAAATAATGAACACTACAAAGTACCTATAAACTACAAAGATTCTTTAATTTCTCTTACTGAATGTTACTGGTAGATAATGAGCACTACACAGTACCTATAAGCTACAAAGAGTCTTTAATTTCTCTTACTGAATGTTACTAGTAAATAATGAACACTACAAAGAGTCTTTAATTTCTCTTATTGAACATTACTGGTAGATAATGAGCACTACACAGTACCTATAAGCTACAAAGAGTCTTTAATTTCTCTTACTGAACGTTACTGGTAAATAATGAGCACTACACAGTACCTATAAGCTACAAAGATTCTTTAATTTCTCTTACTGAGTGTTACTGGTAAATAATGAACACTACAAAGTAGCTATAAGCTACAAAGAGTCTTTAATTTCTCTTACTGAATGTTACTGGTAGATAATGAACACTACAAAGTACCTATAAGCTACAAAGAGTTTAATTTCTCTTACTGAATGTTACTGGTAAATAATGAGCACTACACAGTACTTATAAACTACAAAGAGTTTAATTTCTCTTACTGAATGTTACTGGTAAATAATGAACACTACAAAGTAGCTATAAGCTACAAAGAGTCTTTAATTTCTCTTACTGAATGTTACTGGTAGATAATGAGCACTACACAGTACCTATAAACTACAAAGAGTCTTTAATTTCTCTTATTGAACGTTACTGGTAGATAATGAGCACTACACAGTACCTATAAGCTACAAAGAGTCTTTAATTTCTCTTACTGAATGTTATTAGTAAATAATGAGCACTACAAAGTAGCTATAAGCTGCAAAGAGTCTTTAATTTCTCTTACTGAATGTTACTGGTAAATAATGAGCACTACAAAATTTTTCATTTCTCTTATTGAATGTTACAGGTAGTTAAACTATAAGCTACAAATAGCCTTTAATTTCTCTTACTGAATGTTACAGGTTTTCTGATAGAATTTTATTGTAATAGTAAGTTCATGTAATTTGATATATAACAGATTCTGTTATGTTCTAGAAACTGCAGTTCAGTCTTGTCATTTAATCCAGTAAATCCTAACTTCTGCAGTACAGTCTTGTCATTTAATCCAGTAAATCCTAACTACTGCAGTACAGTCTTATCATTTAATCTAGTAAATCCTAACTACTGCAGTACAGTCTTATCATTTAATCTAGTAAATCCTAACTACTGCAGTACAGTCTTGTCATTTAATCCAGTAGATCCTAACTACTGCAGTACAGTCTTATCATTTAATCCAGTAAATCCTAACTACTGCAGTACAGTCTTATCATTTAATCCAGTAAATCCTAAGTACTGCAGTACAGTCTTATCATTTAATCCAGTAAATCCTAAGTACTGCAGTACAGTCTTGTCATTTAATCTAGTAAATCCTAACTACTGCAGTACAGTCTTGTCATTTAATCCAGTAAATCCTAACTACTGCAGTACAGTCTTATCATTTAATCCAGTAAATCCTAAGTACTGCAGTAGTTTTATCATTTAATCCAGTAAATCCTAAGTACTGCAGTAGTTTTATCATTTAATCCAGTAAATCCTAAGTACTGCAGTACAGTCTTACCTTCTAGAGGTGGGGGCCTTAAATGATTAATCAATATAACTGATTACCCATGAATAGCAATTACAGTGATTAGTGTCATGGAAGCTAATCGATTATTTGAAATTATGATCAAATTTGAATGGGCTTTGTCCTAGGGATCAACCTCATAATCATTTTGTGCTTTTATAGTTTTCATGCCATAACTTTTAAATTAGTAGGCATATCTTCATGAAATTTTGCATATTATCAGTAAACACTACAAGGCCTTTATACAGAAAATATTTTTTTTATTAAGTTTTGAGATTTCTTAAGTAATGTTTTCTCATGCCCCCTTTTTTTTTCGAATGTTGACCATCCAACATACAAAGTAATTTTGATTTTAAGATTAAAAATACTTTCAATCATCAGAAATAGCTTAAATCTCATAACATAATACATCTATATATACATATATAGTTACTGTATTTATTATATTGACCTTTCAGCTGTACCTGGCTAACTTTACAGAAGTTGAAATGTTGTGGCACATGTGCAATCACAATACTGTTGCGTATCTGGTCGTTTGTTAATTTCCCATAGAAATTCTTTCCAAGAAACTTCAGCGATACAAGTCCTTTCTTAATTAAAACAAGTTTATTCTTTCTCAATACAACTTTGCAATACACAGAATTTCCACAGTCAATACGTTTGCAATCTCGATAACAAAACACACACTTTATATTACCATCACTACTGCTTGCTTAACTCAATTATCTGTCTCTATAACTATCTATCTTCAATTATATCTCCACTTTATTTGCCGGGCTTATATACTGAAAAAGAGGGCACCTGGAAAAGACTAGAGTTGCCAGGACAATTCACAATCCTTTGAGAATCTCATCATGTGTTACCAGCACCACGTGACTTCCACTGTCATAACAATACCGTATCCAAGAGTATAAAACTGGCCTTTACAAAGTGACCTTTCTTGACTGTGTTTTAGTGGACCAGTATTTTGTAAAATACAGTCACATTTCAGTTATAATACATTATATATATATATATATATATATATATACTTTATTACT